TGACTTTCAAGATTTGGAGGAACAGGAGGCTGTGTTTTCTAGAAAGAGACCAAGCTTATGATGGCAATCATGTGTCACTTTAAGCTTTGACTTCATCTGCTTTGTAGTCTGCCCAAAGAGCTTTGCTGAGGCTTCTGATCCCTTACATCATTCTGATTGATTAGTGATGTCTGACACAGGAGGAGCAGGGCAGTGTCACGGCCTTGGCCATGCTTTACGATGTAGTTTTACCATGCCAACATTAGTTTTCTTAAACTCCTCTAGCAATGAGAGTTTAATGTGGGAAAAAATTTAGGAGGTCAGCGTTTGATCAACAGACCTGACTTTCAACTCCTCTCTAAATCCTGAATGCGCTGAGTCCTTTGCCAGAAGGCTGTTAGAATTATGACTTCGTGTAAACTTAACTAAACAAACATGACTATAGCACACATCTCATCTAATGTGGGTTGTCAAGATGTCAAAATCAAAGGTTCTCTCAGCTTAGCAAAGAAGGTGATTTACATCTGCTACGCACTATGCGAAGAGTAGAAGAGGCTGGTCTCTCCTGGTGTGCTCACTAACGACACTGCTTGCTTAAGTTTATACTTGGGAAGTACACTTCAGTTTGACTTGGTCAAAGTGGATAAACTTCTTGACATAAACATTCTAACGCAAACTCTATAACACTGGTATAATTTAAACTATCTGTCCAGCCCTTTCATCTTCTATACACTTATTCCTTTTATTAAATGACCATCAATGGTCCAAGTCTTGAAATGCCAGCTATTGTGATGCTAACAGGCTAGGATCTTATTTCAATTAAAAGTTAGTTTATTAATGGGGAGGCTGAAGTAGCTCTCCCAGTTCAAGGCCAGCCAGGACAGGAACGCTGTGGGAAATAAGCAAAGATCATTTATATTTACAGTTCACAAAAGGAGGGGACACAGCCATACTATAAGAGGAACCAAGTCAGCAGCCCCTGGGACAAATAAAGGCAGGGAATCTGTGGATAGAAGCCAGTATTGCAATTTCTATGGGAAGGATGGTAATAGAATGAACCAACTGATGGTTCCTAAGTACAGGGCTTGTTCCTACTTTTTAGTACCTGGCTCAGGGACCATGAAGACAAGTAAGCAGGTGGTCACTTGAAGTGACAGCCCAGTGGAGAATGTAACAGGAGCAGTTGCTCTGAGTTGCCTGGGTTACATGTGAAAAGTGTATTTGCAGGCAGTTTAAGATCTCTTGCTGTGGCTGACCCTGGGAAGATCAGTCTCTTCAAGGCCACAATACCCCAGATGCCAAAGAAGCAGAAACATGGAAAATACTCTGTACTAAACACCCTACTGAAGCCCAGTGACTATGTATAAAGGACCAAGTCATAAACTAGGAAGAAACTTATACTTACTAGGAAAGGAAAACACAGGAAGAACTGATTTCAATATAATATGAACAGCTGAGTGGAAGGTCATATGTCCATGGCACCAGCACTTGGAGAGCAGACTCAGGATGATCGTGAGTTCATGACCAACTTTGGGAGATATTAAATTGATACAATGAGTTGAGACTAGCCTGGTACAAAAGAACTTGGCTGGAAGATCTCAACTCCTAAAAACTTGTACATGTGTGTGCATGTGTGCAGGCGAGTGTGTATGTGTGTGTGTGTGTGTGTGTCTTGTGTCTGTGTGTTTATCTATGTGTTTGTGTGTAGGGTGTTTAGGTGTCTGAGTATGTGTAGTAAATCCATTGTTGCAAACAAAGCACTTATCTTACCCTTTCTGGTATATGAAATATATACTCTTTAAGGTATATTTTAGGTCTTATGTATTATGCTTGGAGGTTTTATTTTTCTTTTAGTCATAAACTTATCTTTATTATACCATAATTAGTCTTATAAAATACAAGTTCTACGGAATTAATAATCTAGAAAAGCCTCTCACAATATGCACATAGGACTTTAGTAGGTTCTTAATAAGAATCCCATGATCTATTAAGTTTGGTAAGTGCTAGATCAGAAAAACTGTATTTTTCTGCAGGCCTTCCCAGAGCATTTGGTAAAGAAAGTGAATTGTAACCCTCAAAAGCTGAGGAGAGAATATTGTGTGACTGCTCTGCACCAGCTCAGTGCCGCATAGAGAGGATCGATAAGAAATTGCTCTAAATGTGTTTTCTGTTGCAATAAAGAAGCAGTTCATAGTCAAAAGGTATAAATATGGGGAGGGAAAGAAACTTAATCCAGTCATGGTGAGTTAGACCTAGGACACTCAGGAGGCTAAACCAAGAGGATCACTCTAAGTTCCAAGCCAACCTGGGCTTGGACTGAGACCCTGTCTTTTAAAAAAAGCATCAGAAAGAGAAAGCAAAGAGGAAAATATGGAAGAATTTTGAGGAAAGGTAGAAATATAATCAAAGTATGTTATGGTGTGTATATGAAATTATCTCAATAAAATCCACTATTTTGTACTAATAAAAAGTAATCCATTTGCTAAGTAGGAAAGTAAGATATAAATACATTAGACATTGAGTAATGATAGAAGAAGGTAGTACAGAAGATATAATAACCTAGTCATAAATAGGGCTAGAGAGATGGCTCAGCACTTTGGAGCATTTGTTATTCTTGCAGAGGACCCAGGTTAAATTTCCAGCACCACATGGAACCTCTTGGCCGTCCATAAGTACAGTGCCAGGGGATCTGACATCCTCTTCTGCCCACCAATATACAGCAAGCATGCGCATGGTGCCCATGCATAGATACAGGCAAAACACCTGTATATACAAAAGAAGAAAATCACTTAAAAAATTAGTGATAAATTGTCAAATAAGTGAAGCGATATTAGAAGCTTTTAAGTGAGCAAAACAAAAGAACTTTTAATATGCTTTAATATAAGAGACCATAGATGTGACACACATTGGCCTTGGAACGAGGATTCAAGAGCCGTTGATACAGGTTAGCAGGACCAGGGCATATTAGATCTGGACTTAAGGGTTACATTCAAATGAAGCACTCAGGGCTCTGCAATGATGGAGTAGACCTAGGGGTTCTCTATGATGGAGAGTCAGGACTCTCTATGTCTAAACTCCAAGTGGTGCTGAGGCAGCTGTCCCAAGGTCTGCAGTTTAGAAACAAAAAAGCAGGCAGTGGAGAACTTTTTCTCCAAAGTGAGTTTCAAAGAGGGACAGTGTATTTACTGCTCCTCTGTCATAAAACAAAAGCGGCTGCAGGCGATATATAAGTGAATGAATCTGGTTATACTTTAAAAAAAAACTTTATTCACCCCAAAGTTTAAGGTTATTAACAATTTTCAGCATCACAAAATATTATTCTTCTCTTGATTTTTTTTTCCCTCTCAGCCATTCAGAAGTATATCAAACAGAATTTGCTGGCAACTGTGTTAAAACAGGCTGCAGACTATACATTTGCTGGGTTAGAGGGTGAGAGTTTACACATACTCATGTACAGCTGACAAAGGTCTCCCATTGAGGTACATCCACCCCATGGACATCATCATCTTCTTAAACCTCTCCGTTACCTTTTCATGATTCCTTTTCCCTTAATAGTGTGTTTCTTCTTTTTCCTGCTAGACAAAACTATCTACTGCCAGAACAGATGCACAAACTCCACATTGGTTTCAGAGTTTACCAAACACAATTCCATTCCTTTGTTTAGACAACACTCAGCGCTTGTGTGGTCAGCGGAGTGTGTCCATTGAGCAAGCCTTTGGCTTGGCCTAGGAGAAGATATTTGTAGTGAGGATTAATGCAGAGCATCAGAAGAGAATTGCAAAGAAGGGAAGGTGTGGGTAAGAAGGGTGGAAGAGTAACCCTTGAGGAGATATAACAGTGTAGAGAGTCCTTGGAATATTTGACAGAAACAGAAGTTTATCATAAAAAGAACAATAGAAAATAAAGCTAAAGTGAAGTTACCAGGAAGCCATCAATGACAGACATGAAGTTTAAGGAGTGACAGGTGGAAGAAATTCAAGAGCTTTAGTTTTGATGACAGACACGGAATTTATCATATTTCAGAGATATGGGGTCACCTAAGGCCAACATCACCGTTTAGTGCAAGTGGGTAGCAAGCTGGACTAAGGCTGTGTAAGGAGAGAAGAAAGGGGATGAGACATGGCTTAGAGCCAGATGGATCTCTAAGACGCTACACAAACAAGAACAATCACACTGTGCCCCAGAATCAAGAAAGACTGCCCCTTTCTGTCACCACCCTTAAATGACATGAGCCACATTACATAAAATGATGTGTGGGACTGGCCAACTGTGTTTATTTAAAAACACATCATTCTAGCAGGTTTGAGGGGAAGGTGTATTTTGTTTTGTTTTATTTTATGTAAAAGCAGCTGCTGTTGAGGAGCTAGGGAGATAGAAGAAGGTCTGGAGAGGTAACCTCTGTCAATCAGCTCGGTCTCTCCCACCATTTGGGAAAAGAAATCACTGGCTAGCAAGAATAAAGTACAGCTCAGTTGTTCCCTCTCTTCTCTTCATCTTGGAGAACAAAGCAGCCAGCTAGAAACTGTTGTAAGTATCAGAAATGCGAAGGCATTGGACCTGTCCTGCTCAGTGCTCAGGACACTGCATTAATGACCATGTTTCCTGAGCACCACAGAACGTTTGAGCATGAAATTTATATTTCTTTATGTGCTTCCTTATATAAGAATAATAGGCAAAATTATAATGATTGTTCGAGTCTTTCGTTATTAAACATGTTGTTAAAGCACTTTGATGTTTTAGTCCCTTAATTTTGTAACCAACAGTCTTTATAAGTTCAACAAGGTCCCTTAATTTAAGGTTACTAAAATGTGCAAGATGCTTTGCAAAGAAATCCTTTGTGGGTTGAGTATGTCTAGTCCTTAATTTCACAGTCTAGGTTCAGTTTCCGTGAGTAACACTGACACAGATCTTTTATCAAGCAAGTATCTTTTAGCGTAGTACGAGCCTTGCTTAGCATCCAGCTTATACCTCACCCATTCCTCTGTCATCCCTCCTCCTCATGTCCTCCTCGTGTCTTACAGATGGTTCTGTGAGGGGAAGGAGCTGTACAACAGTCCTGACATTCAGATCCACTGCGAGAGTGGGGACCTGCACACCTTGGTCATTGCCGAGGCCTTTGAGGACGACACAGGTCGCTACACGTGTCTGGCTACCAACCCCAGTGGCTCAGACAGCACATCGGCAGAGGTGTTCATTGAAGGTAAGCAGAGTATGGAGGGGGGAAGTGTGGATGGTCTTCTGGCTGTCCTTCAGACATCCTTGCATCCTGTGTATACAGTTTTCCAAAACAAATGGCACTGCAGTCCTGTGGGTTAAACCTTGTTTATCCTGAAACAACAACAACAACAAAAACTCTAGGAGTACATTGAATTCTTCTTTGAACAGTTCTGACAGTCCAGCATGCACCAACTGTGCCTAATGCCAACACCAACTCTCCTTTTATTTCCATCACATTCACTTGGACTAATTTACAATATAAAGCAATATATTTATATTTACAATATAAAGCCCTCCCACACAAGCAAATGAAGTATGGAAAAGTACTTAAAACACTGTATCATCCAAAATTATAAAAGATTTAGGAAGTCACCCATGGGAATTAGAAGTGAGGAGTACTTTGAAACGTTTTCATTTTTACTAAATCTGAGCATTGGGCTTTTGTTTGGTTTTGTTGTTGTTGTTGTCGAGACTCCCTTATTTCCACTAATTAACCCTGAACTTGAATGAATTAGTGGGGATGATATAAAAACCCAGTGCCATAAGAGCAGTTTGGGAGAATGGAATGCTTCTATTGGCCAATCATTAATCTTTTTTTTACCATGTCCACGCCTTGTGAAATCGGAAAGCTTGATGACTGAAGTACCATTGAGATAACTGTTTTCGTGTCAGCATCAGTATTTTTAAATAATCGGAAGGGCATGAGCCACATTTCTCAGACTCCCGTTAAATCTACAACTAAATGGCTATCCTTGAACTCAATTGCTTCTTAAAATAATAATTGAACTTTTGAACAAGCATGAAAATACTTGTGGCGTCTACTAGGTTGATCTTCAGTTTTCAGCTAATTAGTCTAATTATGTTATACTACTTGATTAGGAAAGCAAAAGAAAGTAAGCTCCAAACTCTTGCCTCGAGCTGTTTCAAGAACTGAAGTCAAAGCATCAAGTACTGTTGACTAAAAACTGGTATCTCTGCTTTTTGAAAGGACTTTTCTACTTGGCATAAATATTTCCAGGGACCTCAAGCAACCTTCCCCTCTTAGGAAAAGCAAACAGCTCCTGGCTAATACCTACTACCCATATGGCACTTGGAAAGCACACACATAGGCATGCAGATAAACTTATTTAAGCTTCACTCCTAGTCCTTTGAGGCATTTCTCTGACTTCCATTTTGCAAATGAGAAGCAGACCCCGACAGATTGAGAGAGGCTCCCCCAAGTTAAAGCCCATGTTCTTAGGCTCTATCACAATGATGACGACTTTAAAGTGCTTCATAAGTGAAAAAAAACTGATGACAAAGACGTCTCATGCCATGATGAGTTCTTAGTAAGTGTCACTAATGGGCAGGCTCCATAGTGACCTGCATGTGGCATGGTAGAACACAGTGGAGGGGACTGAAGGAAACCTGCTTCCACATTATGATCTCACGCCTGTTCACTCAGAACACTTTAAAATGCAATGCCTCGTTTGCTTGGGGGCTTGCTGGAAATAAGCTAGAATTTTCTTTCCCAATGCATAGTTTCCCGTGATACTCAGTAAACTCGGCCCCTGATCATAAGTTTTTGTGAGTTTAGATAGTGTGTGCAACCTTATAGAGATTGAAGGGAGGGCAAAGGAGCTGGGCAAAGCAAGATAAGGAGCCAGCAAGATTCCTCTTCCCAAGAGTTACATAAATTATTATAGAAACTTGGTAGCGTTGACCTTGTTAAATATGGATAAACATTTAAGTTTTAAGTGAAAAATGTAAATGTATATTTATCCCCGAGGAGAAAGACATGAAGGAGAGTCAAGCTCAGATCCATTCTTAGTCTCACTGTGAGTCCAAGGAGGAAATGTTTATATTAATTAATTCCAGTGCTGCTTAGAATCAGGCCTTCTCAAACACATCGCTAGTTCTGCAAGGAGTTACCAGAAGCTGAGAAGTGGTAAAGTTTTAAATATCAGCAAAAAAACCTTTTCTGAATGTTTCAAAACTTATTATTAGTTGGAAGTTATCTAAATTCCATTGTTTGGGCCCTTGAGACAGCACAGTGGGTAGGACCACTTGCTGTCAAGCCTGACAATTTGAATTTGGGACCCATATGGTAGAAGAGACTCCCGAGAGATTCCCCCTGACCTCCACACTTGCTGTGGTATGAGTGTGCCCATCACACACAGTGTTAGTAATGATATTAATAACATAATAATAAATAAAAAATGGCTGGATATCCTCCACTCCCTCTGTGTGTGTGTGTGTGTGTATGCTAACCTAAGCCAAAGATTCAAACCCAGGCAAGTCTGCCACTTCTTTGCTGGCCCAGAATAAGAGGGAGTTCTAACTCTCCCTGGGGATGCTATTATCCTTGCCTTGCTCTGGTCTGATAGCATTTTCCAAAACACAGTAATTTTTTTTTGTTTTGTTTTGTTTTTGCCATCCTCACATGTATGTTCGATAACTGCTGTGAAATGGGCACTGGCCCCAACACAAAGCTCACACTAGTGAACGTATAGCTATTCTGGAGCTCACAGTCCAGAAGAAAAGGCCCAGGAAAATCCTTAACAATCAAGGCCTGGCAAGTCTATGAAAGACATAAGGGCAGTTGACTGGATGGGTGAGTGGAAAGCCACTCTGAAAAGGTGACATTTAATCTCAGACCAGCAGAGATGGAAAAGCAGGGGAAAGGGTGCTCCAGGCAGAGGGACCACAGGCAAAGGACTGGATAGTGAAGCCCAGAAGGGCAGAAGGAACCAACAGATTCCAGGGTACCTGGACATCGTCAGCCAGGTGATAGGAACTAAAGCAACTTAGAGGTAAAAAGGGTTTGTTTTTATTCAGAATTCCAGGTTTGGGTCCATTATTTCAGGAAATGCAAGGTGGTAGGAACTTGAAACAGTAAGTCACATGGTATCCATAATTAAGAACAGAGAGAACCGAATGCTTACTGGCTTTATATTGCTTAATTTGCTCTTTACATTTAGCCTAAGACCCCTTGCCTAGGAAATAGTGCTATCCACAGTGGGCTGGATCTTGTCATGCTCATTAGCATAATCAGAACAGTCCATCACAGACATGCTCACAGATCAACCTAATCAAAACAATTTCTCGCTGCCTTCCAGATGATACATTGTATCAAGTTGATAGTTAAAACTAACCATTACCCCAGGAAAAGGAAGCGGCTTCAAGAAGGCGGGACTTGCTAGCAGGGTCCATTCTACTGAGAAGTCAAAGGAGGTCAAGGAGCAAAGCACTGACTTTAGCCATGCTGGCATTGTTGGTGATTTTTAGCAAGAAGGAGTTCGGGGACAGGGTGTCATTAGATGAGAAAAGTCTGCAAACTGGGGAAGCAGTTTGCAGTAGCAGATACTGGATAGTTGTTCAGGAAGTTTGGCCAAGTCACCAGCAGAAACATTATCAGTATCTGGAAAAGAATATGAGGTCATAAAGGACAGTTGTTTTCAGACAGGAGTTACTGGAATGCATTTATATGCTGATGAAAAGACGTAATAAGTGAGAAAATTAGATTGAGCAGAAGAGAGGAAGGATTAAGATACAACATCTTTAAGGGGAAAGAAGAACATGGCTCCTGTATGTATAGGATAGGGAGTAGTCTCAGGAATATGTAAATAGGACAGATAGACAACATGTGAAATAAATCCATCCCAACTTTCTACGACTCCTTCCTCTTACCATCGTAAAATTAATTACATGGATTGGTATAGCTTCAGGAACTCTGAAGGGTAGGGTGGTGACTCTGAAATGTGGAGTGAATGAAGCTGGATTGAACTAGACCTTGTGGGCATGAAGACTGTGGATGTAGAGGAGAGGGCGGGAAGTCAGCATCAGAAGATAGGGAGGTCCGACAGGAATGCAGAAGAGAAATGCAAGGAGCCAGGTACTGCTTGACATTGGTTTGTATTTCCTCAATGCTGAGTAGTGAGATTTGAAAGGATGCTGTGACCTTGCATGGGCAAATGTTCCTTCTGCACCCGTGAGGTCAAGACCCAAATGCCAGACCACCGTAGTGCACCAGTGTCTAATATCCAATGGGTATCCGAGCAAATTGCATTCTGCTAGAGAGAACCTAAGAATATTTAGGCTGTTTTTCATATTATGTATTTTAAAATAATTTTCCTAATATCTTTATGGATTGCTAATGGTTGCTCTAAGACTTTTAACAGTGGCTCTGTGCGTTGAAATCAGATCATTGTCAGTATCTATGGAGTTGATCTTAGTGTGGTGCTAGCTATTCTAAAGATCATGAAAGCGGTATTTTCTTTAAAAATAAATATACATACAAACACATACACACACACACATAAATCACATAAAACCATTCATAGCCTCACTGCCCTGTGATCCTCTCTGTTTTATATGTATTGCTGGGAACTGAAGTTAGGGCTTCACACATACACCGCACCACCAAGCCATTGTCCAACCCAATAGTCGCCTTTAGTATGTTACCACGTCTTATCTTTTTCCTGTGCATCTTTTCCTCCAAATAGTTTTCTGCACCTGGTTTGTTAGTTTGTTTTTCATTTAAATTATTGTCTCCCAAACATCTACCCATGTCATAAACATTTCTGAGCAACAGATAACCCAGAAGGGCAGACTTGCAGGGGGAGAGAGGAATTGCTATCAGGTGAGGGAAAGGAAGTAGCTGGCACTGTAAGGATTTGTAACCCTGCCACTGCTGTTTGGACACCTGAGAAATAAGGTGACATTGACATTCCACAAGGGCTGGGCAGGTGCAGAAAACACCCCAGGGATACTAATGCTTTTCACTATCTCTCTCTGATGATCAATTGCAAAAGGAGAAAAAGAAAACTTTTCTTTTTTTGCTTTTTTAAAGTTTGTCTATGTAGGGACCAAACCTGGGATCTTCCATGTACTAGTCAGGAGCTCTGCCTCTGTGCTATAGCTACAGTCCAAGAAAGTGTGTCTGTCTGTCTGTCTGTCTGTCTGTTTTTGTTTAAGATACGAGTTCCTTTTGTAACACAGGCTAGCCATGAACTTACAAGAATCTGCCTGTGCTAGGATTCAAGTCTAGTCCTGCATCACAATTGCCTGACTCCTGCAATAAATCTTTTGTTGTCATTCCTGCTGTATGTTTTTGTTGTTGTTGTTGTTGTTGTTGTTGTTGTTGTTGTTGTTGCTGCTGCTGCTGCTGCTACTGCTGTTCAGACAGGGCCAGACTAGTCAAAGCTAGTCTGGGACTCAACTGCTTAAGTAGTCCAGATTCACCTTAAATTCAAGGCTATCCTCCTGCCTCAGTCTCTCCAGTGCTAGAAATAGAAGTATAAACCACACACCAGCAAGAATGATCTTTTAGTAGGAATAGCAAGATGACTCAGCAGGTAAAGGCACTTGGCCACCAAAGGCTGGCAGCATGAGTTCAATCCCCAGAACCTACATAAAAGAGTATGGAGAAACCTGTCTACTGAGATAGTCTGACCCACACATGTGTACTGTGATGTGTATGCTCCCTCACACTAAGTTTCTTAAACCAAAAAAAAAAAAAAAAAAAAAAAGACTTTTAAAATAGAAATCAAAGAGGAAAATTTTTTTTCACCTGTTAGAAATATTTGGAGTCAGGTGGGCATAGCTGTTTTTCTCCCACATGACCTCTTTGAGACCACCTGGGACCACATCCATAGGACTTTGCTCCCCTTAAAATCAATTTTATGATTCCAAGTAAGCTGTTATCTCAGAAGAGCCCAGCCCATACTGATAACCAGCTTGCTTTCTGAGGCTTCCGCTGCTTAGCCCCTCCTACCTCTTCATCAAAGTGTAAGCTTCCTCCTCCTCTCGCTAAAGTCTGCTTCTACTGCTTCCATGTGTTTTGCCTGTTTTCACTAAGTACCCCCGCCCCCAGCTAACCCTACAGTTCAGTCCTCTCACCACCTCCAATGCCCTGCCAATAAACTCCAAACCTTTCAGCTCCAGCACACCGGACCTGCCCTGTGTATCTAACTGGCCTCAAATGTTACCTCTCCAGCATGCTGCCGGTTTTCTGCTACACACTCCACTCCCTGTCCCCAAATAAGCCTTGCAATTCCCTAACCGCATGCTTCCGGCAGAGGCTAAAGGCCAGCTCTGAGCAAGCATGGAACTAAGCACTCTGAGGAATTCAGACACACACAGCCTAGAAGGTCATGGGGGAAGGGACCATTCAAAAACAGAGTGCAGCCTGTCACCATCTCAAAGTTACCCATCAGCTTGGTTCTTCCATTTTGCTGCCTATGAAGTATCACTTACTTCTTGGTGAGGTTAAAATAGGTTATCATAATCCAAAGGTGCAAGGAGCCAAGCTGACTGCTGAAGACATGTTAACCATTCTCAGTTTGGTAACTCCTTTTTTAACCCTTAGTTCTTGGAGGACTGATAATTTTTCAGCATAAAGGACAGGTGAGATGCATGGTGTAAACAAAAAGCCCTCAGAATCCAGAGAAGACAGCCATTCTCTTAAAGAGGCAGAATAGCAAGAGTGTGTCCTAGCAAAGTGAGTCGCAGAACTGCAGGTACAAAGGAGGAACCTGACACGAGACAAGGGGCCACCCTCTCCCTCCCTGTCATTCTTTGTGAGCCTCCCTTGCTCCCTACTTAGAACTACAAGCTCACCCATTCCTCTCTCTGCCCACACTTCTCTCCCACTTTGACTTTTCCCTATTTTGCCATATAAGGTATTAAGTTCTCGTTCTTCTATTCTGTGTGCTCCCAAGAACAGGACTCTAATAGGATTTGTGTATATGTTGAATGTCTTTGGGACCACATCCCAGCTCCCTAAGCTGTGTCCATCCGCCAATGAGTACATTCAGTTCTGGGGATGGGGATCACATGATTCGCAAATGCTGGAAGTCATGAAGTCTGTGGGATGTCAGATTTGAGGAGTTCTCCTTTAAACTTCAGACATCTTCTCATGCCTTCATAGGAAAGGTGTATGCTAGGAAAAAAAATAACCTGACATAAGAGGAGGATGGCTCTGGAGGGGGAAGAAATGGAAAGACGAGGGCCTTCTTGGTAATACAGGAGCCAGGTGAAGAACACCCACACCGGAAGAAGTGGGAAGGGACAAAGCAAACATTCCAACAGAGTTACCTCAGCATGACTTGTTTTCAAGGTCAATAAGACCTGAGACCTGAGAGACTTTACTGCAGTCCAGGCACTATCACCTTCAGATATCACAGTCAGGAAGCTGCTTCTGATTAACAGTAGTAAAGACATCAACAGCCCACCCCATGTGATCTCCCAGGGTTAAAGTTTAAAACCATGGGCATTTTTCCACAAAGACACTCACATTTGTCTCATTGTTTTCTAATTATGTAAAAGGATGGCTGAGATGGCCAAAGAGATATTAAAGGAAGCTAATAATAAATTGTAAGCACAGTGGTCTCAAGGAAGCTATTAATAGTACCTTTAAAAGACTTGTTTTCTGAAGAAACAGCAATAAAAACTGATTCAACACTGAATCACCCTCAATTTCGATGTGTATTTATAGCACAAATAAGACTTTGCAGGTGGCTATTTACAAATGAAGACTGTCATACTCTTTGGAACTCTTGGAGATGCTGGTACTGCTCATGTCCTAACTGTCTCATGCTCTTTAATGTCTTCTAGGAGCCAGTTCAACAGACTCTGACAGCGAAAGCTTATCTTTCATATCAAAAGCTGGAGCTATGCCACAGTGAGTTGCCTTCGAGTCCCCTGATGGCCCTTGTGACAAAGAGGGGTGACAGAGCTGCTGGGTTTTGTAGCCAGGTGTGCTGGGCTGGAAATGGTCAAGCTGTGTCTATCAGAGAGAGAGAGTGTTTGGAATTGGGACACAATTTTTTTTTTCCTTTGTATGACTTTAAACTGTGGGGTCTGTGTCTCATCTTCGCTATGCCAAATCTGAGCCAAGTGCTGTTAGCTTCAAAGACAAACTTTGAGCTGATTAAGTAAATGACAAGACCAGTCACACTGAGAGAAAAATCAGGTAGGTCTGAATGAGAAACAAAATGTCTAATTGAGCCAGAAATGGATTTTCTTTTGTTTGGATAATTTTTTGCTAGTTAGACCTTATATCTGAAAAAGCCAGAATTTGCTTATCCCTACAGAGACATGTATTACTAAAAAATGTTACTGTCTCCTCTATTTTACAAAAGTATAGCCAAGTCTACCTGGGTTTGGTAGAAAATTCCATTAATGGTTAGATGTGCTAACAAATGTTTTTAGTTACTAGTAAATATATAACAGTTATATCTACTTTTAAAAAAAGGTAATTTCCCTATTAGATCCTTATACATTAATGTAAGCACTGTATTATAAGACTATGACAAAAATAAAGTAATCATATATAATTTGAAAAATCATGTCCACTCAGCATCAGTTAATCACCATTGCTAAAGGAGATTATACAATTGTACATTGTTCCTGATCTAAGTTAGAGTTCAAATTCAGAGATTTCACACTCCCTAGGCCACACTGAGCCTGCCAATGGATTCCCCTAGGTCTTTCTCTTCTACAACACTAAAGTCTCAGCACTACAAGAAGACAAACATTCCAAGCCACTCTCAACAAAATTAGAAGCCAGCAAAAGCGACAGCTGTTAGCCCTAAAATAAACAATAAAACTAAGTTAAATATAGGACCCTAACCGTAAAGATGGCAAATATTTGCTAGCTGATAAAGACTTTCCAAGTTCTTATTTTCTCTTGGAATTTAAAACAAAATAATACCTTAAAAATCTTTATCAGTGTGAGTTGCCTCTGGCTCATTCACTTTCTTCTGTGTGTTTATTAAAGTCTGTTCTATCCATGCCCTGACCATACAGTTCTTTTGGCAATTTGTTTTGATAAGTTCCAACTTCTGAAACAAATTTTAATCGAAGTAGACCAGGTCTACAAAAAGAAACCCAAGGCTTCTGTAAAAATATTTTAAAGAACAATTGCTGATTTAAAAACACACACACCAACAACCACGTGAAGCTTCTAACACTCGCTTCCCTATTTTCCAGAGCTCAGAAGAAAACAACGTCCGTTTCCTTGACGATAGGATCCTCATCTCCAAAGACAGGCGTGACCACAGCCGTGATTCAGCCCTTATCTGTGCCTGTCCAACAGGTAACTGTGCCTCCAGCCTTCAGGAAGCTGAGTTCAGGAGCAAGCAGGCCCTTCTGTTTTAAGAATAGGAGGTTGATCCTAACTGATACATTCTTGTGCAATATTTTCTGAGAAAGAAACAGAGTTGAAGGAAGAAAAACTAATCATTAATGTTCTCACTTTTGTTCATTAAGAATAATCTGTTATCACAGCCACACTACCTGTAAGTCAACAGCCATTTCAAAAAGGAATTTCTGAGCCGATACTAACATAAGCCTTAGCTCTGACTGTCCTGGCTGTCCTTTCTTCCAGTTAGCCTATCTCAGCTTATTTAAAGACACCGGTAAAGTTCATGCACCATCAGGAACTTTTCCCATCTCAGAAGGCCAAACAGTATGGCTTAGTTTAAAAAAAAAAATTCAAACTCTCTGATTTCACTATACTGTTTTTAAATACTGATTTGAGGTCAATGCAAGACTGTTTCATCAAAGAAAGAACAAATCTTGGGAAGGGACTGTAGTGTGTTTACTTTCCAAACACCAGCAGCATTACTCTTTGAGTAAAAGACAAAATCAAATGTCTGTAAAGAATTGATATAATGTAAATCTTTAAGTGCCACTGTAGTAGAAGGTTTCCCAGACACTCTGGGTAAGTAAACCCTTCCCAGTTAAGAGATTTGTCTCCTGTGCATCCCATGCCTTCTGTGAGTTTTTGTTATCCACGATATTATCAGAATCATAACTGCTACATGCCATACAATGTAACACGTAAAAGACATTTGTGTTTATAAGCTTGAAAGGAACCGACAGGAATAAATGACCCAGAAATGGCAGCCATGATAGATATTTCTTTAAACCACTCAACCTGGGTTCTCATTCAAAACCAAGGGTAGTTTACACTCAAGAATTTGGCTTTTATTATCAACTAGTATTTTTTTTAATTGGTTATTATATTTATTTACATTTCAAATGTTATCCCCCTTCTTGGTTTGCCATCTGCAAACCTCTATCCCATCTCCCATCCCTTCTATGAGGGTGCTCCCCCACCCACCCACCCACCCACCTACCCACTCCCACCTCACCGTCCTAGCATTCCCCTACACTGGGGCATTGAGCCTTCATAGGACCAAGGGTCTCCCCTCCCATTGATGCCAGATAAGTCCATCCTCTGCAACTTATACAGCTAGAGTCATGGGCCCCTCCATGTGTACTCTTTAGTTGGTGGTTTAGTCCCTAGGAGCTCTGGGGCGTCTGTTTGGTTGATATTGTTGTTCTTCCTATGGGATTGCAAACCCCTTCAGCTCCTTCAGTCTTTCCCCTAACTCCTCCATTGGGGTCCCCATACTCAATCCTATGGTTGACTGCAAGCATCTGCATCTGTATCGATCAGGCTCCGGTAGAGCCTCTTAGGAGACAGCTATACCAGGCTCCTGTCAGTAAGCACTTCTTGGCATCAGCAATGATGTCTTTGTTTGGTGTCTGCAGATGGGATGGATCCCCAAGTGGGCAGTCTCTAGATGGCCTTTCCTTCAGTCTCTGCTCTACTCTTTGTTCCTGCATTTCCTTTAGACAGGAACAATTCTGGGTTAATATTTTTGAGATGGGTAGATGGCCTCATCCCTTAACCAGGGGCCATGCTTAACCTCTGGATATGGTCTCTACAGATTCTTTCTCCCCTGTGTTTGGTATTTCTGCTAATGGCATTCCTGTTGGGTCCTGGAAGCTACTTGTTTTCCTGGCATCTGGGACTTTCTACTGGCTACTCCCAGTTCCCTATCCCCCACTGCTACACACCTCCATTTAATTTCCTGACTCTCCGTACATCTCCTCCATCTCCTCACACACCTGCTTCTGCCCCACCCCCTTATCAACTAGTATTTATCTGAATGCTAAGCACTATGCTAGGTATTTCATAGTAGAAAGCAGAAGTCGTCAGTGCCCATTCCTTCCCAGTCTAAAGAATAGGCTGGGCAAAACTCCAGATGCTTCTCAATATGGCCAAATTTCTTGTGAGATACAGATGAAAAGGGAATACATTGATGTAGATACAGACACTACAGTGATGTGCAGAGCACATTGTCAATGGCTTTATTTTTACAGGAACAATTGAGGAATGCATCCTAGTTTACAGATGTGAGGTTGAAGTGCTCATCATTTCTTCCTTACAGCCAATGAGATGAAAAGTTTAATATATGGGAGCCAGAGTTCCTGGGTTCGAATCCCAGCTCCTCACACTTACTGAAGGGACCTCATTCCTTTGCCTGCAAACTGGAGATGGTAGTACCAGCAGTCTCCCAGGGGTGTTGTGAAGAGTTTCTGAGTTTGTTTTCACATGAAATTTCAAACAATGTCTGACCCAGGGTGATACTATAAAAGTGTTCTTGTATTCTTTGGATGTGAATGATAGTGAAAAGTAAGATACAGATCTCCCAAAAGACAAGCCAGTAAAATGTATTCCTGGGACAATGAATAAGATCTGTCACTGCCATAGTATCTCCACGGAACTCTAATGTCCCGTAGTGTATTCAGATGATTGTTATCAGATTGCTATCAATTTATAAGTGAGTGCAGATTACTTGAAAATAAGCAATTTTACACACACACACAAATTCCATTTACTGCTTTTTATTTTCCATTCACAACTCTGAAACCGTTTACTTCCCCTGAGATGAATGCTATTCAGTAACAGTTTCAGTACCTTGAGATTTTTTTTACACATCAATAAATGAGTTTTATTTCTTTCACTCATATTTTCTATCCTCCTTTATTGAAAGAGTTCACATTAAAAACAAGATCGGCAGATGTTTCCATTTCTTACTTTACCCTTCATTGCCAATAGCTTATCCTTTGGATTCAATGAATCCGGACTGTATTTTAAAATAAAATATAGTGTCTGTGAGAATGTCTTAACAGACCCCTGTGGAAGTCCCACACACAGAAATCCATTTGGTAATAGCATTTAAAAGCTCTCAGATTCCCCCAGGACCCAGAGAGCTCTTGCCTCCAATATCCTTTTGAACGGAGAAGAGTAACAGATGTGAAATTAGGGGCAGAACAATGTCTGTGCTGTAAGAGTAGACTAGTGCATAACGTATGGCGACACTTCCATACCCTGGAATCATTTGTGTGGAGCAGTCCCCACAATGAAAGGCTTCTTTAGCTCATCTCTTCAGAGATTTATAGATCAAGAATCTGATCCATGTGTCTCTGCTCTTTCAGGTTCACAGTGCTACTTCGTATCTCTGCCGACCTGACGGAACCACCATGGGCTGCCTTCTTCCTGTTTTCACTAAGGTCTGACATCTGGAAGTCTCATTCTCCGTGTTTTCTTTAGTGCTTAAATTTCATTCACATGTGACTTTATGTAGCAGCCCTTAAGATTTGAAATGAAGATATTAATAGGCAGATCGTCATGGTTACCTCAGGGGATACATAGGTATCCATTGAATAATGACTATGTGGCTATTTTCTTATGCAAGATTGAGAAACACAGTTGTGCGCAGGTGAGGCCAGACGTCTGACCTAGTGGGAAAGCCAACAGAGGTATGGATAATTTAGTGTTTAATTGTTTTTTTTTCTTTATAGCTAGCTAGGCATGATGGCATATAACTGTAGTCCCAGCACTTGGAGGCAGAAGTTCAAGACTTTTTAGGAGTTTGAGGCCAGGACTGGTCCTATACAATGAATCCCAAGACTCAATCAAGTTTCTTTTTTACCATCAAGGAAACCTCTTGAACTATCTCAGCAGCTTTACATAAAACAAAACAGCCCAAGCAAATAAACAAGAAAAGTGATTTTTCCATTTGTTTAAAGTTGGAGATTTACATTGCCAAGTTGAAGGAGTCATTGAGTGACTACTGGACTACATGGAATGTCCAGTCCATGCACATTCTCTTTTTGTCTTTGTGTTTTGGGAGGAAATATAAAACACTATTGATGGACATTTTAAAAGACCAAATAAGAGGAAAGATAAGCCATTCTCATGTAGAAAGCCTAATGAATGAAGTCCTTAGTCCCACAATATAGGGTATATCTGATGCAAATTTTGCTAAACTCCCAACAAGTTCCTTGTTTCTATCCATTTGTTTTATATAAAATTTAGTAACCTGGTTCTAAAAGTTATGTTGTAGAGAAAAAAATGTTCATGCAAATAGCCAGGGTTCTACTGAAGAGATCAACAGGGCACCATTATGAAAGAAGAAAATTTGTCCCATAAGATACCAAGGTTCCCTAAAGGTCTGTTAGCTATAGTAAAAAAAAAAGTTGGGCATCCCTAATCTGAAATGCTTTAAAAACTAAAACTGCATATTGACTGATGCCTCAAGTGGAAGAGCCTATCCTCGGCCCCATGACATGACAAGTCTCAGTCAATGCACGGGTGTACTCTAAACACTGTATAAAATTCCCTTGGGATATGTGTATTAGGGGTTCAGAACCCATTAATGACTTTCATGTTTGCTTGTGCCCTGTCTTAGTGTGTTTTCTGTTGCTGGAATAAACACCATGATCAAAAGCAACTGGGGGGGGGGGGGGGTTTATTTGGCTTATACTTCCAGGTCACTATCCAACATAGAGAGAAGTGAGAGCAAGAACTCATACAGAAATCAAGGAGTGATTGTGCCTACTGGCTAGCTCCCTAGCTTCTGCTCAACAGGCTTTCTTAAACAACTCCTTGCAGAGCAATTGGTACCATCCATAATGGCCTGGACCCTCCTACGTCAATTAGTAATCAAGAAATACCACCACACTGACCTGCCCACAGGACAATCTGATAGAGGAAATCCCTCAATTGAAACTCAGTAGGTAATTCCAGGCCAGCAGAAGATAACTAGGAGAGATCCTATGCCCAAGGTATCTCCATGTATATGTAAACATTGAATATTTAAAGTAAATCCAAACCCTAAATCCGAAACACTTTTGGATAAAGGCATGAGTCTCCTCAAATTCCTGAGGAGTCAGAATAGCACCTGCAGAGATATTCCAATAACTGCAGGCATGTAGAGACCCTTGGGGACACAGTGAATTCTTTAGTTGACTAAAAAAATAAAATAAAATAAATGGAACTCCATACTTTAAACAAAAAATTTCAAGTAAGCTGAAGATACCTGAGAAAACAACTCTATAATACTCTGAGGATGCCTGAGTGGCTCTCGGGCATCATCCCTGCCCTCAGGAAGCTGCAGTCAAGAGTGCTTTGAGTTCAAGACCAGCCAGGGCTGTGCTGTGAGTTCAGCCTGGACTAGGGAGTGTCAACCCTCTCAAGAAAGAAAGAAAGAGATGGGGAGAGGGAATTTCTGTCAGGCCACACCAAAAGCAGCTTTGTTATTGTTGTGTAGGGAAATGGTTTTATTCTGCCTCTGAAGCCTGACCGAAACCAAGCTTAGTATTGGCCTCTTTCTAAGCAGTCACTGTTTTCAGTTGAAAAGCCTCTCCACAAAAGCTAGAAACAATAAAAGCAAAGGAATTTTTTAAGGCCCTAACAGACTTAAGTCCCTAGAACAGATATTTTCTTCTGATGCTCTGAGCAGGGACTGCCTAGAAGGACCATGCTCACAGTCAGCATGAAGTGGGAGTTTTTCACAGCCAGCTTCTCAAGGGCATCTCTGGAAGACTGTGTTAAATCATGCCTTACTAACCACAACTCAGTTGATTTGGGGACACCTGAGGCAAACACACCCTTTCTCAGGCTTTTTTTTTTTTAATTGTTGTTGTTGTTGTTGAAGGCATGATATTACTACCTAGCCTAAGCTAGCCTCCACCTCATAATCTTCCTGTCTCAATTTTCTCAGTGCTGGGATTTTAAACATTGCACCACTATGACCAGCCTTCACGTGACTGTTCTTTTAAACAGATCAAGTCCATGTTAGGGATACAAGTGGAGGAACACAGAGGTGCCGTTTAGATTTCCTTTATCCTAAGGTCAAACACTTCCTCTGTCATGGACTGGCATGTGTAAATGTAAGATTCCTTCCTGGACACCAAGAACATCCTCAAAATCAAGAACTGAAAGCTCGGATTCCTCCATTGCAATCCAACTGCGTGGCTATAGACACAGTTAACAGTCATCTTCCTCCCCCCCATCACCACACATATAAATCAAACATGAAGTGTTCTATGTCCTAGCAACATGGCAGGGAAATACTACTTTTAATGTGTGTTGCTTGTTTTTGAGAAATGAAAGACAGAGAGTGTGTGGAAGTCGTGTGCGCATGTCTGCCCTCTGACTTGGTGCCTGGTGTGGCACGCCGGCTTCCTGCAGGATGCCTCTTCCCTGCAACTGCTCTGCTCTCTCCATTTCCCTTTAAGCAGCTTCTGTCTGTGGTTTGCAGCATCCTTCTTAGGCCACGGTTTAGTGGAGCAGGTTTAGACAACAATCCTGTATCTGCTCTTAACTCAGATGACCCTTGGACTCATCACCCTGATTCTTTGGCATTCTTCTTGTGCCTGGCATTAACAGTGCATGGCAAGTGGGCTCTTCCAGTCAAAGGAGTACTTCCATCTAGTTCCTCATGTTACTCTAAGATTCCCAGCATGGGTAACAGGGATGGTCACAGGATGGCTACTCCAGAGGGCTTTTCTTTCCTTAGACCATTCCAAGGAATCACAATGCCAAGTGAACATGATCTGTGTTGACAGGTCTTTATACAGATCCTGAAACATCCAGGGTTCCCAGATGATACACTGAGTGATGATTCAGATGGCTAAGCACAGCCTCTGAAGGTTGATTCTCATCATTCTGTGGGCTTCTCCTTATATTTCTAAAGCTTGTTTGTCTTAATGGCTTACTGGGCTTAACCATCCATGATGTGTGTGTGTGTCTTTGTGTCTATGTCTGTGTGTATTTTTGTGTAAGCATGTGTGTGCCACTCATTACAGTAGAAGGCAAGCTGGAACTAAAATCTAGAGCCAGCATAGATTTCTGTCTCTCTTCATAGACAGGCATCTATGCATTTGCTCTCTTTCTTGCTTTTTTTTTTTTTGGTTTTTAGAGACAGGGTTTCTCTGTATAGCCTGGGCTGTCCTGGAACTCACTCTGTAGACCAGACTGGCCTCGAATTCAGAAACCCACCTGCCTCTGCCTCCCAAGTGCTGGGATTAAAGGTGTGTGCCACCACCACCTGGCTCTCTCATGCTTTTAAACACAAGGGGGAAAACCACATAATGTTAGGAATAAATCTAATCTCCTTTGATGCCTAAAAGCTCAAGCATAAAAAATATTTCGTGTCATTTGTTATATACCAGAATTAGCTTCCCAGAGATATTTCATAGGTTGGCTCATCGAAAGCTGGACCACACACTGTGTTTTGAAACACTAAATTAACTCATCTCTGGCTACATTCATAAACTACAAAACATTCACTTAAAAGTCAGAGCTCTTCTAGGGCTAGCATCATATCCCATCTGATAAAGTTACTTTTTACCAAGCCTGAGTTTATTCTCTGGGACCCACATGGTAGAAGGAGAGAACCAACTCCCTCAAGTTATCCTCTGGCATGAGTATACCCCAGTCCCACACATAGTGAATAAGCAAATATAGTAAAACATGAAAAGATATTCAAAGCCAGCTACTTGCTACACTTTAAAACACAAATGGAGAAAAGAATATAATCATTAGTTGATTTTTTTTTTAAGAAAATGTCTCAAGTAGCCCAGGATAGCCTCAGATTCTCAATATAGCTGAGGATCACTTTAAATTTCTTATCATCCAGCATCTACTTCTGTGTGCTGAATATAAATAAGATTTCAAACATAGCAAGCTAGTTCTCTACCTCTAATCTCCAACTTCAACACCCCAGTAGTTGATAAATCTTAAACTTTTCATTATATATATATGTACATATACATACATATACATATATGATATATATGGTATTCTTCTTAAGAAGAATACCAAAACCAGACCTTATTCTTCTACTTTAATAATTCATTGGCAAATACTGTGGGCTTTTAGAATATGCACAGTGCTTTAACACGTATCCTACAGAATATTTGCTGAAGCACGTTATTCTTTTTCCATTTACTGTAAGATTTGTGACTAGCTGTTATTCCCCCAGACCCTTAAAACACACACACAATTCTGTCCGTTAGCTTGTCTATAGGTGTTTTTTTTTTAAATCATGACTTAATTATTTCAAAAGACCAACACATCTTATAAGGTATGTCAATCTAGAAAATCTAAGTCTAGTAAAATTATCAAAGAGTCTGAATGAGTGTATAGCGCCTGTCACTAGTTAATCTCACCGTGAGGAAGGTGGGGAGAGGACATATGTCAGGAAATTGTTAGCATTCTGGCATTTAATAACAAGTACAAAAACTTTAGCTCTTTGCATCCATAAAGCTAAAATCATTTATCTTATGCAACATAAAAATTTATTAGCCTGCAGTTGGAGTAGGGTCAAGACAACAAGTCAGTTACAAGAGAGGCGGAAACGAAGGTCAATGAGGAAGACACGCAGCCATGCAGCGGGTTGTATTATTTGACTCGGAATTTTGAACTGAAAAAATGCCAAACCTCTTAGCTTCATAAACCCGACCTAGGAAGCTGGTGAAGCCGGGGTGGAGGGAGCACGTGAAAGGGTGGGGGCCTGCCAAAACAAACTGAGTCTTTTTTTCTTATCTGGTTTCCCTAAGGATCTGCAGTCATTTGGAATATAATTGTTTGGAAGCCTCGAATCCCACCAGCTTGCCACTAAATGTAGATAGGAAAGCGGCAGCTGTTACCATCAAACCCCACAAATAAGAAGGGTCAGTACGAATCTGTAAACAACCCCAAAGGGGCCACAGGCCTTATGGTAACCCTATCTAATCTCATGACCCAGAGATCGTGAAAAGCTGGTGACCAATGGGCTTAAAGGAATTCACCCTTGCCTGCGACTGCTGACTGCGTGATTATTTTCTGATAACCCCTTTGTGGATGTTTTGTTCCTCCGGGGTTTTGTCTAAGCATCTTTCTTCTCTATTGTGAGGTTGTTCAAGGAGGCGTGAAGTCTGAGAGGGTCACTTGCTTCTTGAATTTCAGGAACTCCAGAACACTGCAGCCTCCGAGGGCCAGGTGGTAGTACTGGAATGCAGAGTGAGAGGGGCGCCCCCGCTGCAGGTCCGGTGGTTCCGGCAGGGGACTGAGATCCAAGACTCTCCAGACTTCAGAATTCTCCAGAAAAGTAAGGAGAGGTGTCTGTTGTCCCCGAGTTTCGCTTGGATTTTCTCTGGTTCCAAGAGAACTAAAAAGGACTTGCATGGGCTGTTTTGTGTTTTTAAAGTGAAATGAGACTAGATAGTCCGTAATATGCGGGGAGTAAATTAATGTAACTCAACACCTCCCTGCCCCCGCCCCCTTCCTCACAACACCTTGTAAATGTGGGATCAAAAGAACTTCTGTGGTTGCTCATCTACAGATCAAACACCAATGTGAGTGTCAACTCCATAGTTTAGCCTTCTGTACAGGCTTCTGCTTACATAGTGTTGGTCACATTGTTCAGCTGAAATGCCTAGCGTAGAAGTATCTATTTCTCTCAGAAATGCCTTCAAACGTCTCCTGCATTGTTTGTTAAATGGTAGGACACTCCCTGCATTAAAGGGGACAGAGTAGATGCTCTTTTTTAGTTCAAGGTATTCAGAGAGTTGGCGCTTAATGCTGGAATTTACCCCACAACCTCTTCCAAAATGCTACTTTGTGAAACACACAAAAGAATCAGTCTACCCCATTTTTATGGAAGAATTAAACAAACACAAACAAACAAACCACAGGAACCCCTTTGAAGTGGGTGAGATCTATAGGCCCTTTCTTTAGAATGAAAATTCCCACATATTCACATAGTCAGACAAATCATTTTAAGAGGTTCCCAAGTCTGCAGAAGCCTGTCTGGAACTACATTGTGTCACACTTCCCAGTGCACAGTGTTTCTTTATACGTGGGGATGTAAACCGAGTGGCTGCTGCCTTAACTCTGACCTGTGCAGAGGTGGTCCATGCCGTTTCTGCACATAAGGCCTAACCAAAGCAATGGGAGCAAAGGGGTAGGTTAATTATCCCTGAGACCCTCTTCTAATTCTATCCTTCCTCTTTTTCCTTTTTCACATTAACAGAACCTAGATCGACAGCTGAACCCGGTAAGAGTTTCTCTGCTATCAGGGGTAATGTATCTTTTGGTTTTCAGTGGGTCTTTGTTTCTATTTGAAAGCCGCACACCACACTAAATGATGTATTTGCAGTTCCTCAGAAACACGAAACCATCCTGAAAACAATGTCTTCTTTATCACGGGGTCTGTGCACTGCAACCCTCATCATCTTTATTAGGAAAACATGCTGCTCAGACAAGAGCCTAGGGCTTGGCGACTTACGGCTTTTTCAAATACAGTGTTTTATACTCAGACTCGTGATTCAAAAGAAAAACCTTTCTTACGTTCCAGTAGAAAAAAGAAATTTGTTGCAGGCTAGACTTTTGCTGACCTTAAAATACACTGTAAGACTCCATGGCTCTTTGGTTGGTGACTCAGTTTCTGGGAGCACCTAATTCTGTAGAGATTTGATGCCCCAGGGTGAGGGGGGCAGGGCGGACCCTTGAGGAGAAAACCTCTCAGAGGTGAAGAGGAGAGAAGAACTCCATGAGGAAGAAACCGGGAGGGGCAGCATTTGGGATGAAAATAAATAAAATAGCTAACTTTTTAAAAAGAGACATTATGAGTTAGGATGTCCCTGAGGGCTTTAATGGGTGAAGGGCAGAGTGAGCCTTCAGGCTTCAGGCGGTGCTGGCTACTACCTGAAGCCATAAATTTTTACTGTTCCACAACCTTGAAGAAAGTCACCATGTCCTGGGAGCTCTCTTCATTACCAGGTCATTTGACCTCACCCAACTGCTCTGTGATGCAAGAGTGAGGGGGCTGACTTCTCCTCTGCCTTTGACCTCTTGTGTATTTATGATTCCTCATGGACCAAAAAACAACGTCTCCAGGTATCTCATAGGACACCCTCCCCAAGATTGTTTTCTTCTGTATTTTTCCCATCAGCAAAGATTCGGTCCCACTATTTCTTCACAGAGGTTAGAAAAACATGTCACTTTCCTGTTTCTGCTGTTTATGCTTCTGCTGCAGCAGCAAACGAATCCTGCCAAACGTGCCTTGGGAGCCATGGCCCTGCCCTGACCCTTGCCTGGGAATTTTAAGGTTCCCAGTTAGCTATAACGGGGCATGACACTGTTCCTGGCCCCTGAGCCTGTCACATCGGACTGGAAGTTGAAAAGTTGATTCTTAACATCCTTTGGAAGGGACTGGAATTGACCTAGTAGCTTCTGAGTTACAAGTAGAGCATGCCATCCCATTCAGTGTGTGGGTTACCACATCAACAACTACAGTCACTTTCCACGCTGTGGAAACAGACCGCTTTGCGTTTTATTTGTGATATGGCTTTGTGTAAACTTGAGTAATACGAGGTCCCTAATGTGTGGAACAGATGTCTGTGTGTGGTGTGTGAGACGTAATCTCGAATGCATATAAAGAGTAAAGGCCAGGAATGGTGTCTGCATTGATGGGCAGGGCAGAAAAAGATGGATTCCTGAACTCCACTGTTCAACTAGCCCAGCCAAGTCCATGAGATTCGGTGAGAAAGCCTGTTTCCAAAAAATAAAGGTAGACGGATAGAGAAGGGCTCCGTGCTGTTTCAGAAGATCCTGGTTTGGCTCCTACCAGTCACAGAGTAGCTGATAACCATTCGTAACTTCTGTTCTAGTAGTTACAGCACCCTCTTCTGGCCTCCGCAGGCATTCTGTATACATGGTGCACTTATATGCAAGTCAAACTTGGGCACATATAAAATGAAGGTAAATAAATCTTTAAATAAATAAATAAATAAATAATAAATCAAATGATAGCAATCAAGGAAAGATATCCAATGCCAACTTCTGTTTTCTACAGACATTCACACACATGCACATACCCATACTAACAAACACACAGATGCATACCCAACACACATACACATACACACAAGGAAAAGAAGACAGGATATTCTGCAGACAAGTAAGTTTGGATGAGGAAGGCTAATGTAAATGGCTCCCATCACTGCCTCCATTCCCTCATGACCCCTCCCATAGACAGTCTTTGTATTCTAGTTGCTTGTTTTGCTTTTAACATATAAAAGTTTGATCGCGGGCGGTGGTGGTGCACGCCTTTAATCCCAGCACTTGGGAGGCAAAAACAGGTGGATTTCTGAGTTTGAGGTCAGCCTGGTCTACAGAGTGAATTCCAGGACAGCCAGGGCTATACAGAGAAACCCTGTCTCGAAAAACC